CCGGTAGCGGCCTTTGAGTACAGCTGATGGGAGAGCGTGGCATCGGGCCAGGGTGAAAGCCCTTCGATGAATGGTAACCTCTAAGTATGTTAAATATGCCATAGGGGAGGCAAGGTATCTGCTGTCTTCATTGATAAGGAAGGTTGGAACCGAGGCCAGATCTAGTTGGCGCTCTGTGTCTGTGATACGTTGTTTAATAAGTGCTTTGGCTTGATTGTAATCCATAGCTAATAGTAGACCTGGAGAAAATCCCAATGAGGAGATTTTGGATGCTACCGCCTGCTTCCATGTGGATTGGAAGTCATCCTCCATGGTTAGTGGGGCAAGGCCAAGGGGTGCACGGGACAGTCTGAGCCAGAGGTTAAGTATGGCCACCCACACCCTGGACTCCACTCTCATAAAACCCGTCTCTAGTCGCAGGGTGGCATTAGAAACACATTTAGGTACCATATTCCTATGTTCAATTACACTGTTAAATTAAATGCTTGTTCGAACAGCCAGGTCTTCACTTTCCTCCGAAACACCAGCAGGGAGGGGGCCGATCTGTTATCTGCAGGCAGGGCGTTCTACAGCCGAGGGGCCACCACTGAGAAGGCCCTGTCTCTCATCCCTGCCAAGTGCGCCTGTGATGCAGGTGGGACCGAGAGCAGGGCCTCCCCAGATGATCTTAGTGTCCTAGTCGGTTCATAGGAGGAGATGCGTTCGGAGAGGTAAGTAGGGCCAGAACCGTTTAGGGCTTTATAGGCTAACGCCAGCACTTTGAATTGTGCCCGGTAGCAAACTGGCAGCCAGTGGAGCTGGTGCAACAGAGGAGTAGTATGCTCCCTGAGTGCCGCTCCTGTTAGCAACCTGGCTGCCGAACGCTGGACCATTTGAAGCTTCCGAGCAGTCCTCAAAGGCAACCCCACATAGAGAGCGTTGCAGTAGTCTATACGGGATGTAACCAGAGCGTGGACTACTGTGGCCAAGTCAGACTTCCCAAGGTATGGGCGCCGCTGGTGCACAAGTTTTAATTGTGTGAATGCTCCCCTGGTCACTGCTGAAACCTGGGGTTCCAGGCTCAGCAACGAGTCCAAGATCACACCCAAGCTGTGAACCTGCATCTTCAGGGGGAGTGTAACCCCGTCTAACACAGGCTGTAACCCTATACCGTGTTCGGCCTTACAACTGACCAGGAGTACCTCTGCCTTGTCTGGATTCAATTTCAATTTGTTCGCCCTCATTCAGACCATTACAGCAGCCAAGCACCGGTTCAGGACCTGAACAGCCTCCTTAGTAGCAGGTGGAAAGGAGTGACAGAGCTGGACATCATCCACGTACAGATCAAAAGCCTCAGCTTTTCACTAATGGGATTTTTAAAAAAACATTTCAAACATTTCTTGGAAGTGTTAGTTTTAATACAATTGAAAAGGCACACCATAGGGTCTAATGACAACTCTAATTGAAACACCTCAATTAGCATTTTTATTAGAAATTTGCAAAAATTACTATTTGCAAAATTATAACATCCATCCTCCTCACTTTAAAGAATCAAAGAAAGCAACATATCAATATATGAAACCATCCTTTACATCAGCGGTTCTCAACCTGGGGGTCGTGACTCCCAGGGGGGTCGCCTGGCCATTTCGGAGGGGTCACGAGGCTGCCTCTGTTGACCCCGCCCCAAGGGCAAAGGCCAGGGTGAGAGGTGGGCGAGGGGAACTCGGCTCGAGGCCTAGCTTTGCGCCAAGCCCCCTCGCCCGCCTCCTGCTTTCACCATTCGGCAAGGGCGAGAGACGGGCGAGGGGAACTCGGCCCAAGGCCTAGCTTCGCGCCAAGCCCCCTCGCCCGCCTCCTGCTTTCACTGTCTCCGGGACCCCTGAGCCGGTCACAAGATCATCTGTTGACCATGGGGCTTCTGTGTGGTAAGTTTGTCTCAATTTTATCATTGGTGGGGTTCAGAATGCTCTTTGATTATAGTTGAACTGTAAATCCCAGCAACTATAACTCCCAAATGTCAAGGTCTATTATCACTAAACTCCACCACTGTTCATGTTTGCCCATATTGAGCATTCATGCCAAGTTTGGTCCAGATTGATCATTGTTTGAGTCCACAGTGCTCTCTGGATGTAGGTGAACTACAACTCCAAAACTCAATGCCCATCAAATCCTTTCAGTATTTTCTATTTGTAAAGTGCTATTTGATACCACTTTAACTGCAATGGCTGAAAGCTGTAGAATCCTGTGATTTGCAGTTTAGTGAACCATGAACACTTTGGCAGAGAAGGCTATAAGCCTTGTAAAACTACACCTCCCGGGATTCCATAGCATTGAGCCATTGCAGTTGAAGTACAGTAGAGTCTCATTTATCCAACCGTAGCTCATCCAACATTCTCTGTTATCCAATGCAGTCTGCCATCAGCCCGGGTTCATAGCTATTTCAATACATTGCAATGTTTTGGTGATAAATTCATAAATACAGTAATTGCTACATAACATTGTCATGTTTTGAACTGTTTTTTCTGTTGATTTGTTGTCAAACATGATGTTTTGGTGTTTAATTTGTAAAATCATAGAATCATAGAGTTAGAAGTGACCTCATGGACTATCCACTCCAATTACGGTGTCATCTGTACGCAGATGATGTCCAACTCTGTCACTCCTTTCCACCTGCTACTAAGGAGGCTGTCG